GCTCCGCCCCGGGGAGGTGCGGGGGGGCGGGGGCGGCCGCCCCCCCCGGGCCCGGGCAGAGGCGCTTTGACTCCTTCCTTCACCTTCGCCACGTTTGATTCCCTAAGGGGAGTCGGGTAGGAAGAGCAAGGTCAGCGGCACAGAAATCCTGCCGCACGGGGTTAGCGCTCCCTGCTCGCCCCCGGCTGGCGCTCGGCCAGCGGCAGGCGCGGTGCGGAGGCTGCTCCCGTTGCCTGCCCTTCGCAGCGGAGGTCACCGCGTTTCCTTCCGAAGATTCACGCTTTCCGCTGTAGCAGCTCATTTGCTCAACGTTAGAAGCAGTCCGTCGTTAAGAGTGTTTCCAAACTAAAAGGGGAGTTCATCTGCAGGCTAGCACAAACTATACACTAAACCAAAAAAAAAAAAACAACCCAAACCCAAACCATCAAATCCTTCCTTTATAAATACTAATGGCTGAATCACGCCAGATGCAGACCACTAAAATTTTCAATCTAATTCCTTCATTGCCAGAACAACCGGCACTTCAAGTCAGCAACAGCTGACAACACAGCGATTACAGCACATTCTACTTGAGTCGGCATCGGGGTAAACATTAAGCAACTTGTTTTCTTCAAACAAAAGCAGCAGAGTATTCTCGTATCTCTGCACTTTGTACCAAAAGCGCAATGCAAAAAATTCCCCCCCTTTCCTCACTCAGCCTCACCTGACGGCAGAGTAGTCAGGAGCAGTAAGTGGCTGCTGGAAACAGCCTTACCCAAACACAGTTACTGCTCCTTGAGTATACAAGTGACAGCTCAGCAGGTAATTAATGAAATTCCCTAAAAAAAATAGCCAAGTTACCTGCAGTCTAACTCCAGGGTGTAAGACACAGGATTTCCACACACAGCTGCCACTCCCAAGCGCCCAGCTCTCCCAGCACACCAGCGCTCACACCCACTCCTTCCCCACAAGCGCTTCAGTTGTCTCCTGCTCGGCCCTCCCCTTCTGTGTGCAAGGATCTCCTGCTTCTCCCTGGGCTCCCTCCGGGCCTCCAGCTCCCTGACCCCCTACTCCAGGCTCTCCCTGGGCACCCCCCTTCCCTCTCTGCCCTCCACTCTCTGACCCCTCCATGGCAGGAGTCCAGCAGAACTACACCTCGACTCTGCCCGTGGTTTTCTTTTCCACCTCGTTCCTCAGACTGTGCATCTCCTCCTGGTGCCAACTCATTCCCCCTTTTATCTTCCTCATCTCCACTCTTCCGTCTCCTCCTTTTAGTCAGAGTAACAGCGTTTTTAAAACTGCATTGAGAGAATAAACAGACATACTCTTCCTATCATTGCTCACAACTTGCCTGGCATTGTATTTTCCCAATTTCATTTTATTCCCCCACCTCCTTCACTCCTCATCCAAAACATTTTGTAACATCTTCTCACTCAAAAGCTTTCTTTGTAAGATGTAAAACACCAAACACCACAAGCTCAGTCAACAAGTGGAACTCATTAAAATGACTATGCAAAGCTGTCAAACACTTGGGAATGACTTTATTAAAAATAAAATTACACTGAAGCAAAGTCTGAAGTCCTTTTTAGAAATAAAGACATTTTCAGCATTCAGAAATAGCCATCCAATTATATAAACATCCATTTTTTCAATAAGGCATTTGAGATGCTTCCTCTGCTAAAAAAAGGGAGGGGAAGGATACATTTACAAACACAAACCAAATCTGCTACCACTTTACTTACAGTTTACCAAAGATGCCAACACACTTTTAAAACCACAAACATTTTGTTGCTTTTATGCTATTGTTTAGCTACTTTCATGGCATCCTGTGAAAATTTCAGTGCATCTGGAAGGCATGAAAGGCAGGTCTTTATTGTCATTTCCAACAGCATCTTGCATTCTGGCAGACATTGACATGGCTGCACCTTCACATCAGTATTTTTAGCTTGTCGCACTCGGCAGCATTGGATTATAGGTACCATCAAAACCCGCATCTCAAAGTACTATTTGTAGAAGAATAATTTTCGAAGGACAGTTTTCAAAGGTGACATTTTAAACTAAACCCAGCAGGCAAAACGAGCACAAATATATACAATTCCACATACTAGGGGATTATGCAAATTGTGTCTTCTCTGGAATCTGTAAAAAAAAAAAGTGCTTTTCAAATGTGTCCTCATTGATTAAAAGGACATGTATTTTACATAAGCTGTCAGTTGCACGCCAACATCTTTATGTTGCTTAAAGAGGCATTTCAACAGAAAGTAAATATTATCAGCACTTAATTTGAGCTTTGCAATTAAGCATATACCATTTTAAGGATTTCCAGACAAAAATCCCAACTGTACAGAATCTATTTATTCACTGGAAAATACAAAGTTAAAGAAATAAGTGCTGATTACTCCAATACTGTCAGCTTTTAGTGCAAGTTTACTAGTGCTGGTACCAAACTCAACTTTTTATTGTGCTATGGGGTTTTTGAAAATTTCATACAAAGAAAAAATTTAACATGAGCACGGGCTAACCTATAAGGTGAAAAGTTAGCCTATATAAGAACTGGAAGTTCTCACACAAACAGTGGGGTGCCTGACCAACGAAATACATCATTCAGAAATTATAACAGCCACCCTGTTATACAAAACAGCTAACAGAAAACCTTAATTTTAATCCAAAATAACTATCTTACAGTCTTTGCTAGGCACTACCTGGCTTTTAAAACTTCAAGTTAAAAAGTGACAAAAACAGAGGTTAATTTAAAGCTGAAGAGTTGACTCTTTTACAGTTTAGATTTATTTTCTGCTGTGGAATACCCAAGTCCACTTTACAGTCAATTTCACATTCCAGTCTTGTAAACTTGACGTTAGGAGGACTGCTAGTATTTTCTAGATCTCCAATGAGGGGCAAGGGGGCTGGGGTGGGGAATATTTCCTTAAAAGAGTGCATATGTACTTATTTCATCTGATATGAAATTCCGCTACATCAAAAGGTTTATGAAGAGATTTAAGGATGATTAAGACCGATTATTGAAAGGGTAACGGTTACATGTCCCCCAAAAGATCGCTTTTGATGTTTGAGAGATCTTTCAAATAAAAGGCAAGATTGAATGCCCCCTTCTGAAACACCCAACAACAGGCTTCCTTGGCTATTAGTTTGATAGTGGTAAACAGCTCTAAAGTTTTTGCACGTGAAAAGACTAAGGTACTGATACACTAATATTGTATGAACTACAGATCTTTTTACTCTATATGGAAGATAACAAAGAGAAAGCCTTTCTACTCAAACCTCAAGTTTGTCAGATTCCTCATGTTCCATGCCTAAACATACAAGACCTACATCTGTAGTGCTGTATTGATGCTGTATTTCAAGTAAGACTCCAGTTCCCAAAACCAAACAGGTTGTGGCAGTACTGTCCACACTGCCTGTAAATGAAAAACCTGAGTGCAAGCCCCAGCTTTGGGATTACGCACGTAGTTTCCCCTGATGAGCGGGGTGTTGGTCTTGTCCAGACTGCAGCCACTGCTGACATGGGGAGAACAGCAAATGCAAAGTGGCAGCACAGATGTCGTCTTGAATGTCTGCTTGGCACCAGAGAGAACAGACTTCTGCTGTTTCTTGTTAGAGAAATCTGCTCTCACTTATATTCTGAGATAAAACTTCTGCATCCAGACACTGCACACTCCTTTCACGTTAAGAACATGGTATATTCAAGGATTCATTTGGCCTCCAATCCTGGGTTTTCAGAGTTGGTACCTGCTTGTTTATAGCGAGCCCTGATAGTCAAGAATGTTTGGATCCAGGAATCCAGACCGATTCGATCTCATCTACACCTATCAGTTACTTGCAATAAAGAATCCTCCAAGGTTAAAAAGAAGTGTCATTTAGTAATTTCCAAAAAGTATTTGTCATTACTTAAGCTCGGTTATTATGTTTCTTTACGTAGAAAATGTTAATACCCTCTCATTCATTGATCCTTTTGGTACTAGATGATGTCCTTCACTCATTTGGTAAATTAAATGTTTACATGCTGCTTTTACCAAAATAACAATTACTATTTGCTAAAGCCTTAACAGATGTTTTGGACCATTCTCCCATAATATTTTACAAACTGACAGTAATAGTTTATAGACAGAGGGGTTAAGCCCAGCAAGTTTTAATATCAAATTGCAAACTATGCTGTCAGTTCATTTGTGGAATGCCACAGCTGACAAAAAACCCCTTCTCTTTCCAGAAGTGTAAATGTATCATTCTCACTGACTACGAAAGCCTATCCAGTTTGCGTTTTTCTGGAAAGAAAGTAACAAAATAAGCTGGAAACAAAATACAGCTGGATTTTAAAAGTGCAGTATTTCATTGTTTAATCATTTTTTATGTTATATTATCTCTTCAAAGCTATTATATTGAATGGACAGGGAGCTAAAGTTAGACCAAACCTTCCCTCCATAGATGGTTTTGCAGCATTTTCAGGATACAAAAAGGTAAAACTTTGCATTAGACTTGCAAAAATTAAGAACAGCTCCATTTTTGCCAACTGCTCTCCCATGCACACACGTTTACCTAAAGAACAGTTAGAAGAGACACATTACTGGTTTTATACTGTTGATCAATTTGTCAACACACATGCAATTCCTATGCTAGCATACTCCAAACGCAGAAAGGCTCAAGCTACTATTAAGCTATGAACTCTGAAGCTTTGGTCTCCCATATTTTAAGTCTAGCCTTGCTCAGTTGTACTGCTTCCTATTAACAGCATTTATATCCATAGCAAAAGTATTATCAAAGAACAATTCATTATTTCTCATTTCTGCCTGGCAACTGGAGCTTTTAGGAATGCAACTCATTTTACAAGCCACCAACTGTAATAATAAAACAAGTTCTGTAGCTGATCCTATGCGCAAATTTCAGATCTCAACACCTCCAAGGCCCTACGCTTGAACCACCACCACCCCCAACCAGCTACTGACTGCATGTGGATATCTTACCCATTCCAAAAGGAATGAATGCCTCTTTCTTAATTAGCTGGCCATTTTCATCCAGAAATCTTGATGGTTGAAATTCATCTGGTTTCTCCCAAATGTTAGGATCTCTGTGTACTGACCACAAGTTGGGCACGATCACGCTGCCCTTAGGAATAGTATAACCCTGCAGCACTTCAAACAAAAGCACAGAGACAGAGGATCTGACAAGTTGCTAGAAGTAAACATGGGAGACTTAGACTTACTAAAAAGATGACTAGAAGACATCACAAAAATGATACAGATGCCTAGCTGTGGGCTGCAAATGTAGCAGGAGCTTAAGGCAAAGGTGATCTCTGCTAGCCTGCCTGGGTCAGAATCACGCAGGCCAGAGCAGCTGGAAAGACATCAAATTACACCAACAGTTCCCTGCAGAGAAAAGGCAGCAGCAATCATTAGAAATGAACTCTGCTACATAGAAGTGCTGTGACCCTGTTTCCTCCTGTTCACTGTGGTGGGGCTCTGTGACAGCACAGGAAGGTGGAGGTAAGGAAGAGCAACGGGTGTTGAACTGTTATCACAAAAGGGTTTTGAAGTGACTAGTCTCATTTCAGCTTGTTGCATCTCACTGTCCTGCAAGCCAAAACATTTAAAAGGCAGATCAATTCAGTACTGGGTTTGAAAGCCAAGTATTGCTACCTCCCACTCACTTTAGCCAGTGTTCAGCTATCTTTATGAAAACATATAGCCAACAAGATGACTTGGAAAAGGATTTTATTATTGTTTTCTGTAGATGTGGAGCTCAATGGTATAAGCCTTTCAAGCTTTAGCAAACCAGTTGTTCCAAATTGGTGTTTTCAGACCTCTGTGTCAGATGGCCGAAAGCAACTCTGCTGTTTCAGATACAAAGATGGAGTCTCAGCTGCCAACTACTGCTAAGCACATCAGTCAACACAAGCTGACCCCCAGAAAAGAAATTGCTCTAAGTGAGAAAACTTCTGGATGTTAGGTCAGACATGCTGCTTAAACAGAGGCCATCCACTCTCTATAAATGGCATTTTACGTACTTGGGTTACATGTCTAATAGATAAATGAGGTCTTTGTCAGTCCTCACTAGATGTCCCATCGGATCTTCATCCACAAAAGAAATGTTGTATTAACAAGTCTCTACAAATGCTTACCAGCAGTTTCTGAGGCCATTCGAGGAATAGAAAGGGGAACAACCGCAGTCATCCTCTGCACTTCCATAATGGTTGCCTCTGTGAAGGGCATTTGAGCCTTGTGGGTAAGAGAGGGAACTTTGTCACGTCCTAGAACTGCTTCAATTTCTGCATGAACCTTCTCTATTCAAGGGGAGTGAGAAAAATAAAAAAATTTAAAAAAAGATATACAATATGTGAGAAGACATCATCTCAATTTCATTTCCCTGTGCTTCATTGTTCACACAGATTTGTCAAAAATGACTACAAGACATGTGATCCCTAGCTGAAATAACTATGCCAACATAAACCTTTAAGAATGGACTCAGTTACGAACAAAACCACCAAGTGCAACCTTGACAACTGTCAAGAGTAAAGCTACTGGGATGACAGACATTGCTAGCACTTTTGTATTGGAAAAGTACAGGAAAAGTTCTGTTCCAGTCCCAAATGTATTCATAATCTTAGTTTAAGAGTTTAACTATACAGCAGTTTGAATGGTGAAAACATCAAGCTTCTGGCCTGCGTTAAAAAAAATGAACAAAAAGAGACTGCATGCAGTGAGTGCCCAAGCTGGCCTCTGTCCCTGGGGAGATCCAGTTCTCAGAACTGGGAAAGGTGGTGAAGAGATGGGAAAGCTTTTCATGCAGCTGCTTTAGATACTTCATTCTGGAGGAGGAATTCTGGTGCTGTTACTGCAAGCGTTGAAGCCATTTAACTTGTTCTTGCTGTTTCCTACTTTCTATCCACAGAACCTAAACTCAGCTATTTCCCAGTTCCCCTGAAAGGCAGCAGCAGATGCTCTTCCCCCCCCCCCCAATATCCCTTCTGCAAAGGAAAAACAGAAGTTAACAAGCTTATGTCCCCTCTCATTCATGTGAAACACAAAGTGTCAAAATATTTGTTTGCCCCTTTCATCTCAGCGTACAAGTAATTCTCTTCATCGAAGTTTCCAAGATTTGCTTCGCCCATGTACAGGATGATGCACCTTTTCTTCCAGGGAACTTGGCATCTGGCTACACAGCAAAAGACAATCTTGAAAGAGGAGACCTCAAAATTAACTTTTAATCAAAAATAATAAAAGTTTTCATTTTTTACCCTTGATACCCTGAATATTTTGTGGTTGTCCTGCCTGCTTTTTCCAAGATTCAGAACCCGGACTGCTGATACTCTGAGGTTTTGCTCTTTTCTCTTCTTAGCACTGATTCAAGACTAAATAAAAGCTCAATGCAAAAAAAATTCTGTTTTCAGAGAAGCATTCAGAAATATCATACAGTGTTCAACGAACAGTTGCTGCCACCTACTGGGTTTGCTAGGAAAACAAGTTCTCACATGAGGAACACAGTAAAAAATACCTCAACAGCAAGAGATTTGCTAACGGTGTGGCTCATGAGTACCTGCTTTGTGGGGTTTTGCTACTTTTTTTTAATGACACATTATAGCCCTGTATTCAGGCATGCACGTCCACAGTAGTTTAAACGAGTAAAGTTTTCAATATTTAAAAAAAAAAAAATTTAAGGAGACTGTCTCATTGCAAATGTCACACCAGCATTTTACCTGGGACAACATTTCTTTGGAGTCTGTAAAAATATGTGGTACTATACAGAAAGCAGCCAAATTGCTGCTCACATTACCAACTGCAAAAATGTAGACTTCAAGAGTTCTCCACTAACAGCATGTTATTTGAACTGCTCCACTACATTTCATATATTTAAAAATCTCACAGATCTTCAGAAGTCAAGGACCAAAACCAAGTCAAGGAACAGACCAAACCAAATACTCCCCACTGCCTCCCTACATGCACACATGCACACTCCCACCCTTCTCCATGCAAAAAGGAAAACTGGTTTCCACAGACAAATACATTCTTTCTGATTTTTTCCCCTGATAGCCCTTCATTTGCCTTTCCAGAAAGTGTCTGTAACATTTGCTACTGCTAAAAGTTATGCAATTCAGGTATTTCCTTTAGGGGATAAGAGAAGTATATTACCAGGAAAAAAAAAAAAAAAAAGAGGCCCATACATGACTCCCAAGCAATCCATAAGAAATGGGATACTAGAATTAAGAGAATTATATTACGTAGCTAAGTGATACACTCTGAACTACTGAGCTTATTCATATTGCTTGACAACAGCTACAGCATAAGGAAAAGGGAAATCAGAAAGAGGCAATACAACTATTAGAGATCAGCAGAAGAAAGAAAACTGACTAGCACATACTTGTGCAGTACCAGGCAGTAGGGAAAGGGGTTAACAAAACTCTTCTAGATCTCATTTGTGTAGTTTAGAACATATCTAATTCATGTAACTGTGTATCAAGTCAGGCACTGATAACATACAACCATTAAAAAGAGAACAATAAGAATTTAATTTTACATTTGTCCCCAGTGGACTCTCTCTCCCATACACTGAACTGATGCCCTATTTTGCAATCTTTCCTCAACAATTTGGTTGACTGTGCAATAAACTATGACCTTGACCTATTTAAAGAGATCATTCCAGACAGAGAGGTGCTGTAAACAAGTATCTATTTACTTATTTGCAAAGCAGCTGCAGCACATGAAAACCTCAAAATCTCAAATATTTGATAAAAGTATTCCAGGTTTATATTGTTCTTAGATAACTTGAGGTTTACCCTTCTTCACTCCAGGTTAGCAAGAAGTCTGGGCCAAGTAGTGGTCTCTTGGGGAAATGCTTCACTACTATAAACTGAGGTAGAATTACCTAAGTAGAATCTGTCCATCCTGACAAGGCTTGCAGTCCGCATATACCCGACAATTTTTCTAGTGGAAATCAGTTGCTGTGTAGGACTTTAGGAGAAGCTGCTAATAAATTATTAAATCAATTTCTTTATTTTTCTTAAATTCAACCATCTAAATTTGCTAAACAGTTCTAAAGAAAATGCTGGCTTTGTGGCCACATGTACTATAACAAGACTCAGTATGAAAAAATAATTAACCAAAATTAATTTTAAGTCTTTGGCAATGGAAATTTATCCTAAGAAGTCCTGAAATAAAACTCTAGCAAGTACTATTTTAATATTGTAACCTCTCCAACATCACTGGTATTTTACATATCCACAAAAATCTACAAGTAATTTTCTAGAACTCTGTCACAAACAGTAACCAGTTCATAGCACCATCAATTAATTTGGGTTGCAATGAACCTCTGGAGGTCATCTGATCTAAACCCTTACTCAAAGCAAAGTCATCTTCCAAGTTAGATTCAACTCTGAGGGTAGATCAGACTACTCAGGGTCATACCCCACTGAGTTTTGAATACTTTCAAAGTTGGAGATTCTGTTAACTCTCAGGGCAATCTGTTGCACTCCTTGCTATCTTCATAGAGCAATTTTTTTTCCTAGTATCTGATTCGAATTTTCTTGTAGACTGTCTCTGCTGTCTCTCTCCCCTCCACTGCACACCTCAGAGGAGAATGCCTCCATCTCAGCATCTTCTGATCAGGCAGTTGTAGACAGCATAAGGTCTCACTTCGGTCATCTTTCCCTAACACTGAACAAGCCCAGTTCCTTCTGCCTCTCCTCTGCAGCCATGTGCTCCATGTGTCTTTCCCCCCCCCGCATCATCAGCAACCTACCCAACTGCCATGACCGTTCAAGACTGATGGGGAGAGGCCTTTCAATGACATTGACCAGCTGGCGCTGTGGACTTGTGTAAGTCCAATTTGCTTAAGCTGTCTCTAATTTGATCTTCCTCTACAGTGGGTAGTGTTTACTTCCCCAGACTCTGCCGCCAGGCTCAACAACCTCCCTGCTCAGGGAGACATAAAAGCAGACCTTACCACTGCGCATATCACATAGCCTGTATCACTACTATAGGCTTGGAATGCCACAATTGCCAAAGCTTATGAAACATGCTAAGGTTCCCTGGAATTGCTAGGCAAAGATAAAGTTGTCCCAAAACAGAAGAAATTCATAGACTAAAGGGCCATTTAGATAGTTAATATAGCACTAACCTAGAGATCATCGTAGCAGAGCAGGACAGAGGATGCCTAATTACATATCAAACTTTCAAATTACACATACACATGTACTATTTGCACTCCAAATGACTTCTCTAATGTTGCTGTTTGCTTCTGTTTCTGAATATCCATCTAGAGCTGGAATAAAACACCTAGAATAAAAATAGTCTTACCTTGTACTTCTGGGTAGAGAGACATGTAGAGCAGGCACCACAGTAACGTGTTGGAAGTAGTGTCTGTGCCTGCGATGAAGAGGTCACCAATGATAAAAAATAGGTAGTCTTCATTAAAACTGCTCTCCTTGTTGTTCTTTTCTTCTTCCGCATGAATGAAGTACATATCAATGAAGTCCCTGGGATTTGCTGCATCCAGTGTATCCCTGTGCTGTGCAATTATTTTCTTTAGAAAAGTAGTAATATCTAATTCTGTTTTCCTAAGTTCTCGGAAAGGCCCGAAGGGAAGGTAGTACAGCCAAGGGCAGATATTGACCAGGATCATATAGCTGTTCACGCTTAGCTCTAGTGCACGGGCCATGTTCTTCAGCATCGTCTTGAACTCAACATCTTCATAGTTAAAACGCCTGCCAAGGGCCATGGAACAGATAACATTGGACACTGCGTTGCGAATGATTGGAAAAGGATTAAATGAATCCTTTCCATGCTTCAGCATTTCCTCCTTTATAAACTTTAGCTCCTCAATGATTTTAGGCTCTAAGCTGTGTCTTCCTACTCCAAAATGACGCAGTGTTGAGAGAGAGAATTTCCTCTGTTGCTTCCAGACAGGGCCGTAAGGTGCAAAAATAACACCTGGAAGAGAAAGGGAGAGTCTGAAACCAAAATGCTCTGTTTTCAAGAAGAAATAGTTAGACAGGCTGCAACCCAAGAGCCAGAAGAGAGAGAGACAATACATATCTATCCCAAGCACTGGACTAGGAGCTAAAGGAAGAACACAGGGTTCTTTATAATAGCTTTGGGAAATCCTGTCCCTCCTTTTCCCAATCAGTGAAATTAATATAACAGTTACATCAATAGTTTTATTAGTTTTTGCAAGACACTAATAGATGGAGAAAGGGTACTCTAGATGCTTTATTGGAAATGATAACAATGTTGTAGGAACTGCTACTCTGGGACATACGTTAGCTACAGCCTTTTCTCCTCCATGTCCTGAGACAGAAATTCCTTCAGCAAGACAGAACAGAAGATATGAAAACACAAACGGGTTTGCATTTCTTTTTCCCTTCATGTTATACAAACTTCTCAATACTGTTTGTGTGTGTACATATTTCTATTACAAGCAAGGTTCTTTAACTTATAATCAAAATAGAGGGTATGCATGCTGCAACAAACTGGGAAGGTGAAGACAGGTTCAGAGCCACTTGGCAAAAACCTGCTTGATTTGCATCTCAACAGTTTTGATGCCTCTAGGCACATGTTCTGCACAATTGTGTCATTATGAAACACCATTTAAATTAAATCCCTTAGCTTCAAGTATAACTTTTGCTCGCTTACCAACACAAACACATCTCTTCTGTTGAATTAACAGACCACACCAAAGATACTGCAGCGTAACAAAATACACAACCTGCTATTTCTAATGTACTCCATGGTTAACCTGAGAAAGTTTAAAGTCATCAAAACACAGGCTAGTTCTGCCTTTGTTCTTCTAGTAAAGTGACACGACATCTGTTTTTTTCTGGAAATAAAAAGTTACTTTATAAAAGCAACATCAATTATTCTGTCAACTGCAAATCTTAATGTTAAATTTAAAAGAAAGAAAAATGGCCATAATAAATTAGCAATAGAAAGATGTACCATGTTTCAATACTTAACATTACCTACACTTCTATCACAACTTAATGTTCATAGCCTCTAACGCAAAAAGAAAAATAAACAAATAAGAAATCTATAGCTAGAAACAGAAATCTGTAGATGTGTAAACAAGATAACTGTACTCAGAAGGGTCTGCAATCCCAAAGGTATGAATAGTTCAGTGTAACATAAAGCTGGTAATCTTTCTAGCCAGATTTTCTGATTACAGTATCTACTCGTACCAACAACAGACCAAAGAATACAAACACAGGACCTAGTTTCAAAAGCCCTAAACAAAATAAGCAGAACATTATGAAGAGTCAGAGCAAGCTGAGAACCAGCTGAACTTGATCTTCTCTGCATGAAGACATTCCTTATGAAATCTACTCACATGTCTATTCCCTGGCACTTTAAAAACGGAACCAAGAACTTTTCAGATTCCCTTTCTCAAGTAATGTGTCCTGGTAACACTGGTGTCCTCAAGCAGGGTAGATGAAAAAACAGGCTTATTTAGGGCTGAATTTGGCCGAGAACGAACTTGGGTTTTCAGGGTTTGTGACTGGAGTGGGGAAAAAACATGGATTTCTTGGAACAAAACAATGTTATCACTATTTCTATCCCACAACAAATATCTCCAAAACAGACTATACATCCACAATCTCTTCCCCTTTCTGACTTTAGGAAAATTAGTTTTAGGATCCAAATACCTTCATAAAAGAAAACAGACCTATTGTCTTGAAAGTAAAGACGACTCTCCTAGCCACAATGGGAAGGTGAACACCAACAACAAACATCTCCACACTCAGAGAGTCTCTCCAGTAGTCCTGCACAGGGCATGGCTGGACGGCATGATGTCTTCTGAAGTCCCGAAACCCCAAACTATTGCAGAATACTAATAACTGATTTGCAAATTGGGAAAGAATAACACAGGAGACAAATTAAGGAGAAAGAAGAGCAGAAAGTTAGAATAACAGAGGTAAGAGAAGAAAGAAAACTGCCAACTGGATCACTGCCAGGCAATAATAATGGAATAGTACTTCACTGTTTTCAAAGAAAAACTCTGCATGACCTGAAAAGACAACATATTCAGCACAGACAACTGTATTCTTAAAAAACCAAACCAACAACAACAACCAAAATAAACAAACAACACATCCCCCCCAAATACAATAATAAATTCTGAAGCAACAAGAACCCAGAATAACCAGGACTTCATGCTCATTACAGGGGGCTAATTTCTATGAACTGATAATGCAAACCTTTCAATACAACCAACAAAGCAACAAACACAGAAAAACAGAAAGTTTGTTTTTAGGCTCCCTTTTTACATGAAAAATTCAAATCCTTATGAGAAGCAAGTTCTGGGAAAGACTAACTCCACCCCCCAGCCTCCCAGTTTCTCACTGCTAGCTTTAGTGTAGCTGCAATACTGGGAACATTGACAAACACAGAATTCACAACATCTAACAACATTTAACTTCTGTGTTCTCCGATGTCCACATCTGGATGTGCACAGGGCAGGACCATAAAGGCTGACAATCACTCAATCTCCATCCACTCTAGAGGTTGAATCTTTGCTACCTCTCATAGGTACAGGACACAAAAATGCTTTACTAAAACAAAAATACCAAAAACCACTTTTTCCCCCCAGTCTAGTATTTCTCTTCCCACAGGCATATGTGCAGAAGCCTTTGATTAAGAACTGACTTCTACCTTCTCTCTTAAGTTCTCACTGCACCTCCCATCCAGCCAAAAAGGCCTCCCTTCTTTGCTACTCAGTTATTGAAATGCAGTACTTGCCATTTCTGATACTTGTTCTCTCCCAGGCACAGTATTTTATTTGCATCCTATACACAATAGAGCCACACACAGCTGAGATAAGCCTTTCTTTCTTCCATAACATACCCAGCAGGTCAGCTCAGGGTAAAAACAAAACTACAACAGAAAATGTAACATAAATGAAAATAGCCCCATAGGTTTACACCAGGTATTTTGTTTACAGAACGAATACATAGGAACCCAAAATGGATGCTTACTGACCCAAAGCATCCCACTGTTATAGTACCCAAGTCGTGAGCCATAGATCTGAAGTTACACAATCATCCAGCTTCTATCATTTCCTTTCCTAGTACATATGAACATAACTGTCGCTGCCCAGATCTGTAGCAAAGTCTCACCCATGAACTCCCAAAACTAAGCGTGGGAGGCTCCCAGACCAAACTTGAGGCCTCCAGTTTGAGTGTTGTAACCCATCCACCTCCTCCATGAACACACACAAAAAGAAACACTTGTTAGCCCAGAGCTCTTATGGACAATATCTGAAAACTGAGGTTAGAGATTTACATTGTACCTATACCACAAAAAAAAAAAAAAAAAAAAAAAAAAAAGAGAAAACCTCTTACGCCACCGGTTCTGCAGCAACTGCCTTCCCGGTAGGACAAATACAGCATCACAGAGGTTCAGTTGTCTCCTACATGCCACCACTAAACCCAAGCCAGCACACCAAGAGCAGCTGCGACTTCCAGTGGCTTTTGGGGAACCTACTTGCACGGGGGCCAGGCAGGCCCACACTGCCCATATTCACTGAGTCTTCCCTTTGTGTACTCAAAATACATTACCCCTGTGGTTCATTCTACAATGCTCTCACATCAACAATTCAACTTGTTGCACCAGCTAATGTAAACAATAAATAGCAGCTCAGTATATTTTATGGACAACTGGGCAACCCTCATGTAACAGTCCTTGTGCCTGAGCGCAGCTCTGGTGACCTTCCAGATAAAACTAAATGTAAAGCAATGTAACGTCCCTGCCACAGTGCAGCGCAATGCAAGCAGGCACAGTCCCTGCACTTAGCTGCAGCATGCTCCGGACAGCCGGCTCCTGACACTTCTGACTCACCTGGAGCACCCATCCATGGAAGCTGCTAACTGCCCTGGCTACTCTTGTGTTACCACATTCAAAAAGTCTAACTGAGAACTGTCTGCAGACAACAGGAAACAGACAAAATTCACAGCATTCAAGAAAAAAGAAATCCACCATGAGCCAGAACATGCCATTTTACAGCACTGCTAAAATTGATCTAATGTCTAACCGCTCTTTCCCTTTCCTCCCCCAGTCCTTGCTAAATGTAACGTACCTAAAAATATTCATGTACTATAACAACTACATGCCAGTATGATCTGTCTCAGATCAGCATCATTAAACTAGTATCATTAATCATTCATTTTTTAATCCTTTAGACCAATTACAGCAATGGTACCCAATTGCTTTTTAATAAACACGATCTAGGTCCCTCGCTTTCCCTTATCTTTGGTGGGTCAATTCTGGTACAGTAAAAAATTGAAGATAAAAAGTTTCAAACGCTTAACTAATAGATTTCTCTAGCCTCCAAAAACAAAACAAACCCCAAACATTTCACAACACAGTTAGCGCGTTAACAAGCCTCCTAGGCTACCTCTCCTAAACTGAAAAAGGAAAGGTAACTTTCCACAAACACTGAGATCTGTAACGGACCTAAAGACTAAACATGATGAAATTCTAACTGCAATACTGCCATCAGGTGTTTAAACTCCCCGTGCCTTCTTTTCTGTGAAAACTAGTAAACTCTCCTTTGACCTATTAAAAAAACCAAAACAAATGTGCGCAGCGAGTTTTGACAAGCAGAATAACGCACCTGCAAACATCTCAGCACCAGCAGCTCGCATGCAGGCAGCGCGGACTGCGCCGCAACGGGACTCCGCCAGGAGCCCGCTCTCGGCCGTCGTTACCTTGGTAAGAACTGGGGAAGCGCACAATTATTCCATACGGCTGCCAAAGCATTCGAAATTTCTTCTCCCAACTAAAACCAGAAAGCCCCTAGGTGACAGACCGGCGGCTCCTCTGACTGCAAACAGAGGTGAAGGGACCAGGCATCCCGGTGATGTCGCCTGCTGCGCACACCGAAGCTCACAGGGTGCCGCACGTTCACCTGCAGGGAGGGCGAGCGTCTCCCCACGCTCTCCGCCGCCGGCAGGGCAAGGGACCCACGCGATGAGCAAAAAAGCAAGCGGATGGCTCAGTCTCTAATTCCCAGCCGGTACTTACACACTCCGGCGCAGC